TAAAATTACTATTGACTTGCTATCAATAAAGAGGTCACTTTTAGACAAAGGGGTAAAATCACTTTAGAAATGTAAACAGTGCCAGTATCCTGAGAGGCTCACCTGATTTATCTAAGCATCAGAAGCAATAAAAATATTTAAATGTTACTCCATGTAGCCATTGATTTAATTACAAGTTAGTCCATCATATGTAAAAAGTGAGCTCAACTATTTCAAACAAAAAGTAGGAAAGGTTATTAGTTCTATATAGATGGAAGAGCAGTGGTAAAGGAAACCTGGACTTCATATGRTGTTGTACCAAATAAACATCAAGTGATTAATCTGTGCTAGGAGTGTTCTTAAAAGCCTAGAGACTTGCACACAGCAAATGTATCTACTRTAATATGGTGAATAGTCACTAAAATGTTCCACTAAATAATWAGGAAAAATTCAGAATAAATAGAYATACCRCATGGATGACTCACACGTGTATAACGTAAGTATTTTGAAATGTTTCTACTTCAATTTTTMTATCACAGATTGCAAATAAAACAGATTAAAAGCTAAATACAGCATCTACAAAAGCTTAAATTAATTAATATAAAAGCACCTGACTATTTGCATATGCTGATTTGGTTTTTGTTAGTAAAATGAACTAATCCTATTCAGGTTGTATTGCTATCCTACAGGTAACTACATCAGAAAAAGAGGAATATATAGCTATTGACTTCTTTAATAGGAAAACTAGCATAGAAATAAGGAGACAGTCAAAGAGAAGATTTATTTCAAAAGTTGGTGGTGCCTGAAGGCGATTGTGGGACAGGGCTCCCAGTGCATACAGAGCTTCTTGCCTCCTGGCACTAAGCATCAGACACAACCGTGCAGCTTCACTCCTTCCTGAGAGCATRATGTGGTTACACAGCCCGTTTTTCTTTTCAAGGTCTTGCAAGAAGGAATAATTCAGGAGTAACTGCTGTGCAATGAAATTAAATGTTGGTAGGTTCATTTTCATGCTTGGTACTCTGTGTGCCAAGCCTTCACTTGTTAAGGTGTAAGGATGAAGCAACAAGAGGGAAATTTGGGCTGRTTTTCCCAGAAACAGCATCTCTGAGCAATAAAACTGTGAGAAAATGTTTCACTGTATATATGAAATCAGCAAGATTCGAGCATTCGGTTTGGTTGTAAACTCCTGTAGGAGTGGTTTTGTTTGAACCAGCCAGCCCTAAAGGACATGGGCTTTTCCCCATATAAGGAATATGAGCAGAGAAGGGGATTTAAAGCAGCTATTAAAACCTATGAGCTAATTTACTAATAGGTTGTCAAGTTAGTGAGAATATCAAATCGTTGTCAGCATTATATTTGCACATATTCAATTGAATTTGAAAAATCATTCCAATTTTTCTCTTAATTGCAGAAGGTATATGCTTCTCTCACTCAAGTCGGGAAGCATCTTACAGCTGACATCTCAGCAACAACGCAGGATCCTGATGAAAACTGCAAAAAGCAGCTTGAAGACTGAATGTTGCAGCAGTTACTATATGAGGTCGCTCACGAAATACAGGGAGAAATCCTGACAGGAATGTGGTTTGGAGATGTACAGCTGTTGCCTACTGTGTAGCTACAGTTACTTTTGCTGGTGATAAATTGTTATTATTTACGAAATCGAGTCATAACATGTTCAAAAGCAGATGACCTAAGATTTTCCTGCAAAACTGTCAATGTCTACATACCTTTGTTGCACAGCCAGAGCAAAGCACAGCTGAGGTAAAAGCCATGAATGAAATCTTCCCCATCACCAACAAGAGATTAAAATTCCTTATAGAAGGAAGCACTGTTTGTACCACTGCYGTCTTCCACTTAAACCCCTGGAACACCCAGCAGGAGTCTCAGCAAGGATTTGCATTGCTCTGAGTATATCAAGAGGCAAACTCGTTCAGGGAGAAAATTTCTGTCAAGGAAAAAATCACCTTTAATAAGGTATGGCTAAAGCATTACCTACCACCATGCAGGCTYTGGGAGGTGCTGCCAAGAGGGCTACAGTGTGTGGTAGCCCCTGGCCATGAAASTCCTTGGCTGCCTCAGAGCTGAGCAGAGCTTGGAAGGCTGAAGTGGTACTGTGCTAGCTTGGCTCTGCCCCAGAACTGGCACATGGAGATTACACCACTAATTATTTTCCYGTACTGGGCAAATCCTACCCTGAAGGAAAAGTTATAACATTTCCTTTTCCCAGTGCAATGTACTCCCACCCAGGAGATCATCTGGGTCTTTTTATACAACATTATATATTATGTAGAAAGTGTGTGCCCTTTACAAAGGCTTTTTAAAGGCTTTGCAGCCACCTTTCTTTGTGTTAAAAAAGTGATTAAAAAAGTTTTCATGAGCTGCCCATGAGCAGAGCTCATCTTTTCCCATTTCACCACCCCACATGTCATGATGCACTGCTTCTGTGAGTGGGCTGCCTCTCACCTGGCAGGCAAAACGGCTCAGGTGGCCGACAGAAGCCCCCTCAAACCGCAGCCAGACAGGCTCCGCTCCCGCTGTCCAGCTCACGCCGTGGTTTGTCACTGGATTCCGGGCCCCGCTGTCACCAGGGCCCCGTCGGGCGGCCCGGACAGTGCGGGGGGCCGAGCCCAGCCCCGAGGGGAGCCCCGGGCCGGACAGTGCGG